GAAAAGATATATGTCTGTTTCAAAATGAGCCTCAGTGGCAGAATAGCAAAATTTATATCCAAAGCATGAAGTGGACCATAATTACAAATATATATTTTACAATATCATGCTAGAACAATGGATTTAAATGTCCTGAACCTCTGTGTTCTTTCCAATCTCAGGAGCATTCTTCTACCTGGTTCTGTCCATTAAATTAATTGTCCTCTTCTCTATTTTTTTCACATGGTGAGAAAAGTCCCCCTAAATTGAGTACCTTTTGGAACATACACAGTTTATCTCTGTTGGTCAGATTAGGACTGAAGAATTAATATTGCCAAAATGTCCATACTACTAAAATAACTACAACAATTCAATGAAATTTCCATTCAAATTCTAGTGGCATTCTTTATAGAAATAGAAAAAGCAGTCATGAAATTCATGAGAAAAAAATAAGAGGCCCAGAATACATAGCAATCCTTAGTGAGAAAAGCAAAACAGGAGGCATCACAATACAGAACTTAAATTATACTACAGAGCTAGAGTAAGAAAACCAGCACCAAAACAGGCATGAAGACCAATGGTATAGAAGACATAGAGATGAACCCACATAAATACAATTATCTCATACTAGACAAAGATGCCAAAAAAATACATTGGAGAAAAAATAGCCTCCTCCATAAATGGTTTAGGGAAAACTGGAAATCCATATGCAGTAGAATGAAATTAGACCTCTCTCTCTCACCTTGCACAAAACTCAACTCAAGGAGGATAAAAAACCTCGGCATTAGATCAGAAACACTGTACCTACTAGAAGAAAATGTAGGCCTAACATTCCATCATGTCATTTTAGAAAATGACATCTTCAAAAAGACTCCTAAAGCATAAGAAGTAAAATAAAAAAATCAATAAATGGTATGGCATCAAACTAAAAAACTTCTTCACAGCAAGGGAAACAATCCAGAGCATAAAGAGAGAGCCTCAGAATGGGACAAAATCTTTGCCACCTGAACCTCAGATGGGACATTTATTTCCAGGATATACAAAGAACTTAAAAAACCTTAACACCCAAAACACCCAAACAATAAATAGGCAAAGGAATTAAACAGACATTTCTCAAAAGAAGAAATATTAATAGTCAACAAATGTACAAAAAATTCAACATTTCTAGCAATTAGAGGAATGCAAATTAAAACTACACTGAGATTTCATCTCACTCCAGTCAGAGTAGCAATTATTAAGAGTACAGATAGTAATTAATGTTGATGAGGATGTGGGGAAGAGGGCACACTCATAATTGTTGGTGGGACTATAAATTGGTGCAACCACTCTGGAAAGCATTATGGAGATTCCTCAAAAAACTAGGAATGGGACCACCGTTTGACTCAATATTCCTAATATTCAATATATATCCAAAGCTGTTGAAATCAGCATACTACAGTAATGAAGCCACATAAAAAGTTAATAGCAGTACATTTCACAATAGCTAAGCTATGAAGCCAATGTAGGTGTTCCTCAACAGATGAATGGATAAAGAAAATGTGGTATATATACACAATGGAGTATTCCTCAGCCATAAAAAAGAATGACTTTATGAAATTTGCCAGTAAATGGGTGGATCTGGAGACTATCATGATAAGTGAAAAAAGCCATTTCCCCAAACCAAAGGTTTGTTTTCTCTGATATATGAAAGCTAACCCACAATAAGGGAGGTAGGGAGGGGTGAAAGAATAGAAGTTCAGTGGATTAGACAAAGGGGAATGAAGAGAAGGGAGGGAGTAAGAAGAGGAAAGACAGTGGAATGAATCTGATATAACTTAGTCCTATGTATACATATAAATATATAATAGTGAACTGCACCTTCATATACATCCACAAGAATGGGGTCCTAATTAGAAAGAGAGATATTCCATGTCTGTGTAGATATATCACAATGGAATCTACTGTCATGTATAACCAAAAAGAACCAATAAAAAAAGGAAACAGAAGAAAAGAGGCACAGTGGGACTAAAGTTAGGAAATGTACATATGTAGATTCAGCTAGGCTGAGAAACAGGTGACATTCTCTGTTTCCCAGGCACCCACCAAGGTCAGAGGGTTGCCCCTCAGCCTCCATACTCAGTATGAGGAAGCTCAGGAGCTAAAACAATTTGGAGATTTTAACTTCAGAGGGGTTCTGTTTCAATAGGAGACTCAAAGAAGGTCCAGATATTTGAAGTGTAAAAAGCATTTCTGGCTACAGGAGAAAATAAGGCCTTGGGATTCAGGGGTGGGACATGGGGGGTAGTGATGGTTGTTTATGGTAGATAAAGGGAATTAAATGAAATAAATTCAGGGCAAATGGGAGAATTTGTTGTGTGCATGAAGTCTTTCAGGTAACCAGCTTCAGAAGAAAAGATGATTGCTTGCAACAAAGTTTTTCTGGAAGAGGTTTCAGACCATTTCATCCCTGAACCTTCTTGCAGTGTCTCGCACATCAACTTTCTGGGGGAACACCTCATGTCTGGACCATAAAATTCTGATAGAATGAGTGATCAGGAAAAAGGAGGTACTATTTTGAGGGCCTTCGACGTATCTAAACAGATGGTGTCAGAGATATCAATAAAGTGTCTTGAGGTCTAACTGTCACCATCTATTAGACCTGGACAGTATCTTACTATGTAATTCATAAATTGAAATGCAAAATTTCATGCTGTCATCAAGTAGAAATGGAACATGATCAAGCTTAGCAAGTCTGGGGCGTAAAGGGATTGCATGAGTTTCTGGTGCCACAACTACAACACCCACTTCTGCCAGATTATTTCCCTTGTTACACAGCTACGACTATGTGGGAAACTCCTTATAAGCAGTGGACTGAAAATAAAAATTTTGCTTCATGTTTACATGAAATATGGGCAGTAACCAGAAATGAAGGTCTGTGGTCTTATAGCCTCAATCAAAAACTGCATTACGCTTAAGCATTTTTCATATGGTTGTGGTCATATAAAACAATGATTAGGAGAAATGATAAACATGGGAAGAAATTGTGACAGTACATTGGGTTATTCCCTTTTGGCTTGTAAAAAGCATGAGTCTATATTGATTCATAAATAATGATAATAGTTGGTTCAGATGACTAGAACATAGAATGAAGACACTAGAAATATTGATGACAAACAAAGGAAAGAATCCTAGAATTAGATACTTTCAGAATGGGCACAGATTATCAAAATATAGGTGTCCATTTGAATGCTAGAGGCATCCATTGTAGAGGAAGATTTTCTAGGTGGACAAAACATAAGTTTTTTTTTTTTAAGGTGTCCCAGTATTTCATCAATGGGTCCTCATATAAAGTGACCAGAGTTTGAAGTCCTGTATGCAATGAATCATATGCATTATCTGGCTATCAGCACTTTAGAACCCATCCACTAATATGGCACAGTATTCTGTGGAGATCCTAGTGGTATGTTAGAATATGGATGATGTTAGAATATTTACACCATGGAGGAAGTAGAGAATTCACATTTATTGTAGATATGAGAACGCACATTTATTGTAGATATGAGTATTCTTCCTATGACAATACTCAGCTTACATGACCATCCATGGGTTTAAGTATTTTCATATTCACCATCATGATATTTGTGCAAACTTTATTTGACAGACACACAAATGAAGCAATGGGTTCATGACCAATGAATTTACAAGTCTGACCACATACATGATCACCCATAAACAACTGGTCTATAAGAATGTTGAATGGCATAGTGATGAGGCTGTATGGCTCTCATGGGAGAAAAACAATCATTATTTCTAAGATTTGGGAATGTAGATGAGAAAGTGGGAGAAGTTCCTCTTATTGTTATACTTACTACTCACTCACAAATCTTTTACTTCCCTTCTGCTAATGTTGGGTTCTGTTGGATTGGAAGACTCTCTTCCTGAGAAAGTTATACTTCCATCAGAGTTTAAAACAATATTTTCATTAATTTGAAAATAAAAACTGGCTATGGTAATTTGTGCTTTGTCTAGGGAACATTCATATCTATAAGTTCTCTAGATTAGTATTTTATAGATGATTCTAACAAAAAAAAAGAAATTAGGTCTGCAAATTAGATTAAAGTGTATATACTAGGCTTGAATTGCACAGTAAAAAATGATGAAAATATCTGAGTTGAGGGCATTTACTATTGGAATTTGTCATGCTGTGTTATACTACAGAATAGTCAAATCTGTGTTTTTAATTTTTATACTCATTTCATGAAATGTTTAAAATAGTGCTTAAATTTCAAGTTTAACTTCTAACCACTTGCAAAGAGCTATAAACAGAATAAGCATTCTGGGTAGGAAAAAATGGTAACTTAGAACATACAGTGATGAAAACACAGTGGTTGAAAGAGTATCCCTTAAAGGTGAATTGAGGCTATTTCTAAGATAGAGACAACCAAATGATGGACTGCCAGTTCTTTGTGACCATAGGTGAACAGGCATGTGCTTGAGAGGTATTCACTTTCTTCACAATATATAATAAAATAGAAAATTTCATTGAAAATTATATCATTTACAATAATTAGTGTTTTATTTGTTAGCTTAATAGAGACATTTTGGTATTTTATTTTTGGCATGAGTTATGCTTTAACATATTTGGTGAAAAGTAAATTTTCTACTGTGATGTTGAGTGTCAAATAATAAATAAACACTCTTGGAAGTATGATTCACCTCTCAGTTCTTTAAGTAAAGCAAATAAAGCTGTGTTAACTTCAAGAAATTTGGTTCCTATATTTGGATCTTGTTTTTTCATTATCAACTTGGGCGTAATACTAAAGCACTGAAGAGAATACATAAAAAATAATGACATATAATGACATAGATCAGGCAGTCAAGGATGATACCTACATTATTTTTATTCTGTCATTTGTTGTAAACAGCTCCAAATAAAATAAATAAAAATTTCTCATATGGCATCCTTTCATTTTATCATTTTTTTATTGATTTCAACAATTCAGTTTCAATCCACTTAATTCATCATTCTGGAAAAAAGAACAGAAATATTATTTATAACCTGCAATCATTAGGAAATTCTTTGAAATGTCAAAAGAGCTTATTGCTATACACATTGAGAAAGAAATTTTATAAGCATATGAGTGAAAATATTGGTATCTATTTGATTTATTAATGTATTTTGGTTGCTAAGTGCCATTGCAGTGCACTATGTACTATAGTTTTAAGAATAACTAGGTAAGCCATGTCCCTGCTTCAGGTAGATTACATTTTGGGATGTTTACAAAACTGATTAATACTTGAAAGTAAAAATATTATTCTTTTAGGTTAATAACTATAGCAAATATCATTATTACTGATTGAATTATTTTTATTGAATTAATTAAAACCAAATGTGTCATAACCTCTGCCATTTTCCCTAAGTGTTTTACCACTTTTATTTCATTCTCTTTCAATTTCCCCCCCTTTATATTTGGATAAGAATCTCTGTTAAGGAAAAAATAATAATTTTTTTTTTGCATTTTGTGAAAAGATAAGTGAAATTTGCAGAGGAAGAGTAAGTGATTCATGAGCATGTTTTTTTTTCTAGTGTGGTTAAAAATAATTCAAAAAAAATTACGAAGATGCAGTCCATCAGATTGGATCTATGGTGGTGTTGACTGTATTGCATCAGTTTCTTTAATGTAGTGGAAAGCATAGGAAAACTAATCAAGTAATTTCCCCACAAAGAAGAATTAACAGTTTTTGAGTTTTAGAAAAAAAATCACACTGCTTTCCTGGGGAATGTTGATATGTCCTTATTTATAAAATCCTTTTTCTTATACCTGAGGACAGTAATAATCTGTAGACATGATTGAACATGTCATAATTTTCAACCTGTTTTATAAGATCAATATATTGTCAATTTGAAGCACTCACTTGCTTCTGGGCATTAAATATTAGCCTTGGAATTCATGCAATAGCTTTTGAATCTCTTCATAGCATCTTTAATTTCTTTATTTCTCAATGAGTATATGGCAGGATTTAAAAGAGGTGTTATAGCAGTGTAAAACACAGCAAGAAATTTGTCCAACCATGTGGTGCTGACTGGCCACACATAGATGAAGATGCAAGGCCCAAAGAAGAGCACCACCACTGTGATGTGGGTAGTGCATGTAGAAAGAGCCTTGGATGTACCAGACTTAGAGCTTTGGCGAACAGTGACAAGAATATGTGTGTAGGATATCAACAATAGAATAAAGGAGGTTACAGCCACAAACCCACAGTCAATGTTTATTAAAGTGTCTATATTAGAGGAATCCATGCAAGCCAGCTTGATTACCAGTGGTATGTCACAGAAGAAGCTGTCTATTTCTCTGGGGCCACAGAAAGGCAGCTGTGCAATTACAACCAGTTGACTCATGCCATGCACAAAGCCAGCAATCCAGGCAATCACTACCAGCCTCATGCACTTTTGCAGATTCATAATGGTGGTATAGTGGAGGGGTTTGCACATGGCCACGTAGCGGTCATAGGCCATGGCCACCAGTATTATCATCTCACTTGATCCAATAAAATGGACAAAGAGAACCTGGCACATGCAGCCTCCAAAGGAAATGCTCTGGTTCTCCCTGAGAAATCCTATGATCATCTTAGGAGTGGTGATGGAGGAAAGCCACATGTCAATAAAGGATAGGTTGGCTAACAAGAAGTACATGGGGGTATGAAGATGGGTATCCTTGATGATTAGTAGTATGATAAAAATATTTCCAAATACAGTCATCAGGTAAATCATAAAAAATATCATGAAGAGCAAGACCTGAATATCCCATGAATGACAAAGTCCCAGAAGCAAAAATTCTGACACTATGGATTGATTTCCTCCATCCATTTTATTCAACGTGTCTTCTGAAATATCCTTGAGAGAAACATAGATTATCAGTTATGGGCATAAAAAAGGAACTTGACTTTTAGGATTTGATGTTTACATTGATATTAGCATCTATATCTGAAATTAAATTATAATTGGAAGAAAATTCAGAGTTCAATATATCTAGTATTATGTTCAAATGGAAAGATAGCCATGATGGGATTTTTAAGAGAATAACATGGGATTGTTAGGTGAATAATTCATTATGAATGTTCTTTCAACAGGGTGTGAGGAAAGTAGGACAGCAAGATGAAAAGCTAACACATGCTTGAGATGTTGCCTGGAAATAGCTCCAGTTTTCTGGTAAAAAGGATCAGTCCAGTAAAAGTGATCTGGGCAGGTCAACAACAGTAATCTTTATACTAAATAGCAAAAATTTAGATGATGTCCTTGGAAAAATGATGGCAAAGTAATATTGCAATTTGGTAAAAAGATTTGATATAACATTATGGTTTCTCTGTAGTTGTCCTATATCATAAAAATAACTATAAATTTTTCACTCTAAAATGTATGTTAGATCAGTGTTTTAGAGATAAACTATAGGAAAGGTCATATAATACATAACTGATATGCTGTCTGGCATGGTGGCACACACCTGTAATTCCTGTTGCTTGGGAGGCTGAGCCAGGAGGATCAGGAGTTCAAAGCCAGCCTCAGGAAAAGTGAGGTGCTAAGCAACTCAGTGAGACCACTTCTCTAAATAAAATACAAAATAGGTCTGGGATGTGGCTCTGTTGTTGAATGCCCTTGAGTTCAATTCCCGGTACCAATAAATAAATAAATAGACAAATAAATAACTGATATCAATATTTGGATACAAACTCAAATACTACCTTACTATTAATTTTAAAAATATATAATTAAGTGGATATTATTTAATCAGCTAAATGAATACAAAAACTCTATGGAGAATTATGTAAGACAGAAATTAGAGGTCACTGAGACCAAAAAATCAGAATTCATGGATCTAAATTGAAGCTTAGTTTTACTCAAGATTATTAGCAGAAAGTATTTTTCTTCAGTTATATGAATGAATGTTGGGAAATCAACCAGCCTTGATATAGTATCATCTCTGTCAAAGTCATAAAATTTGTCTATTTTATGATATATATATCTACCTATCATCTACTTAATCTAATTTGTCTAAGATTATATTATAGAGATATGTAGGAAGTTATTATATTTGACTATTAATGCTTAGTAGATAAGAAGTTAAAACTTCAGTGATGAGAAATTAAATCCAAATATAACAATGATATTGCTTATGTTCGTCCATAAATAAACTGAGGTATCTGAAACTGGAGATTAGAAAGATTACTGCCCATTCTCCTCACCTCTTTATTAATTCTCTTCCTTGACATTGCTCCATTTTTTTTTATCAGCTTTCATCTCCTTTTATACTCTGAACTTTCCAAGGTGATACAAAGGAGAACAGGTGAGGAATGGAAACCACTACAGCTTCCCAAACAGTTCCCCTATCTTACTCTGAGATCTCAGAAGTACAAAATAAGGACAGAAAGAAAGAATCATTCCTAAAGCAATTTGACAAAGCATACATTTTCTGTTGAAAGAGAGATGAATATGATAATAGCCTCAAACTACAAGTAAACATATAATCTGTAATGAGAATTACCTGACTTAAGGATAATACCCTGATAGCATACCAGATATGTGTGTGCCCCTGAGAAACTTGAAATATCTTTTTTTTTTAAATTGAATTTTCTATCATGGCAAAACTTTCTAGGAAAAAAATTTAGTAGCTATTTCTCTACTTGTTGGAATAAATGACATAGAAGAGTGTTAATAACAAAAGCAGAATTTTGGTGGCAATCACTACAAAATGGACACATAGTTTCACAGGGAACATTTTTAGCAGTAAGAAATCCAGCTGATTTTTATTAGTTTTATAAACTAGTAAATTAAACAATCATTATTTAATAAAGTTTAATAGTCATCTGTTTTTTAATTTGTAAGATCTGGTCTGAGATATCACTCTTGTGAACTGTGACTTTGATACTAATCTATTACTTTTTCTACTTTCTCATTTAAAAAAAGATTATTCAATCTAATAGGCATGATGTGAAAATGAACAACAAAAAAATAAAAATCACATATATTTTTTGGTACTGTGAAATTTAATAACTCTTAGTTATTCTTCATCTTTAAGAGTACAGTTTTCAAGGCTTTTTGGAAAAAAAAACTGTAAAGTACAGCCAATTACTTTCTTTCACTGAAGCATATGCAATTGCCTTTCTTTATGAGTGGGGGTCAGGGAGGAACCTTTCGCCAAGTCCTGCAGAGAGAACATCTCAGGGAGAGGAACAGAACACTCAGGTCAGAGATGAAACCACATGACCTGCAGGGAAACGACAAATGGCCTGAGTGAAGTGTGTGGGAGGCCAGTGGGAAGGTTGGCAGTGGCCAGCTGAAAGGCCCATGGGTATAGAGGACTTTGAATTTACTCTGAAGCCTTGGTGATGCTGTTGAATAATCCCAGCCCAAATGTGCCACAAGAAGATTGTTCCCTCTTTGTCCTGTCAGAGTACTGGGGAGCATACCTCTGTTAGAGCATTTATTACAATTGCCTTTAAAAAATGCTACTATTTCAATTTTCGCTAAATTAACACACACATGCTTAGCAAAACTATGGGATGGACAGGCACAGAGCACATATCGGACATATCCTTTCTGCTATGCCCCTTTCATTTTTAAATTTTGCTTTGGCCCAGGAGGAGTTATTAATAATTTGAGAGAATCTATAGGAGACAGTAGAACATTGTGTTAGAGTGGATTTAGATTTCTTATCTTTAACTCGGAATTTTCACAAACAGGGTTAATGATAATTTTTAAACTGTTAAAATTGTAAATTTAAGGAAAACAGACAAATTGCTCTTCTTGGAGGTAGAGAATATAGCAGCATAATGGCTTCTAGGTTTGTAAGTCAGGCACAGAAAGATAAATGCTATATGATCTCACTTAAATGTGGAATCTAAAATGTTACATGCACACAAATAAAGAGTAAGAATGGTGGTTACCAAAGGCAGGAGGTGATATTGGCCAAAGGATATAGCTTCAGTTGGTCAAGAGGAATTTGTTATATTGATCTATGCCACAGTTTATTATGATATTATAAAAATATAAATAAAATGCATTATATATTTTACTGTGGTGGCTGGGTATTGGGAATTCATCCCAGGGCACTTAAATCACTGAGCCATATCCCCAGCCTTTTAAAATTTTGTTTTGAGACAGGATCTCACTAAATTGCTTAGTACTTTGCTCAGTTGCTGAGGCTGGCCTCTAACTCGTGGATCTTCTTGCCTCAGCTTCCTGAATTGCTGAGAGTATTGCAGGTGTGCACTACCACATCCTGTGGTGTGTTTTATGTTTTAAACCTGCTAAAATACAAATTTAAAAAGTTGTAACATGAATAATGAGAAGATGGATATGTCAATTACCTTGATTTAGCCATTCCATGTTGTGCACATGTATCAAGACAACAGATTGAACCACATAAATGTACAGAATTATTTGTTGATTAAAATAAATAAAATATAGCCACAAACTTTGGTTCTCCTTCTAGATATGCTATCTTTCTATGAAAAATATTTTCTATCATAACCCTAAAACTCTGTGAGAATATCAATATTTACATAAGGACATTCTTACCCTTAAAGAAATTAAGAGATTGTGTTAGATATGTACTGGGTGAGGTCCACTGGAAGAAATGTTACGTTCCTTCTAGTGCCTTGTTCTGTTTTCCTTCTTCCTCAGGTTAGAAGTTTTAATACTATTTCAATATGAACATCCTTATGCATTGGATTTTACTTCTAAATCTTTGAACATCACAGAGAATATTAAATGACTTACTCACCATGGGCGTTCTGTAAGGTCACATTTTCTTTCAGTGTGCTCTTCCACAACACACTGGAGTTGACACCCATTGTTGTGTGGAGACAGTATCCGTGGAAGTGATTTCCCTCAGCCTGACATATTTAAAACACAAAAGAGGTCCCTTGAGAGAAATTTGCCTGTTCTGTGTTTCAGGCAGAAATAGAATCACGGATTTTTTTTTAAAAAAACATCCCTTGAGTACATCTTTGTTAGGAGTAACATCAACCTTTTCATACATTGGAAAACATAACAAAAAGACAAGATAAACATTACAGAGATCAGCCTTGGAACCAGCCTAGATGTCCATCAACAGATGAATTGTTAAAGAAAATGTAGCATTTATACACACAATGGAGTTTCATTCAACCATTAAGAAAAATCAAATTATGTCATTCGCAGTAAAATGGTTGGAATTTGAGAACATTATATTAAGCTAAATAAGTCAAACTCAGGTCCAGGGTCATATGTTTTTTTCTCACATGTGGAAGCTAGAGAGGAAAAAGGAAAAGAAACATGTTGGTAGATCTCATGAAAATCACAGGGAGATCAGTTCAGGAAAGATACCAGGAGGAGGAAGGAGGGGAGAGACTGAGAAGTGCTGGGAAGTGATATTGACCAAATTACATTGTCATATTTGTGCATATATGAACATATGACAATGAATTCCACTATTATAATACTTAATAAAAAATGTAGAAAAAAAACATCCATTAGTTAAAACTTAGTAAAATTTAAACATTATGCCTATAAATAATAAAGAGGTAATATCTGAAAACTTGATCTGTAACTTGATATAATTAGATTCAACTAAAGTTTTAATTTCAGTTAAAAGACAAATCATAAACGTATGTGATATATAACTACATTGTTTAAATAGGTAGATAATCTTGGTTGGTTGACTGTTGTTTTAATATTATCTGTGATTAGTTGACATCCTGACAGTTATGCACTGGATATCTAATTATCAAGATTATTTCTAGAATTTTTTTTCAAAAAATAGGAAGTTTTCCAGGCAGGAAGGCACATGCCTATAATCCCAGGGGCTTGGGAGGCTGAGGCAGAAGGATTGCAATTTTGAGCCCAGCCTCAACAATTTAGTGAGACCATGCCTTAAATTTTTTAAAAAAAGTAAATAATAAATAAATAAATAAAAATTGAAATACATCTGAGATCTTTTAAACAAAGCCTTTGTTTTTGTGCAATTAAGCATATAATAACTTGCATATTTTCACAGTGCTGTTTTATACATCTTGAAATATATGCAGCCTGAAGAGGTCAACATAGCCAACTTGATGAATGTGCTTCAGCCTCCAAAGTTCTTCCTTCCTGATAACATCTTTTTCCCCTTCATCCATACCATCTGCACTGTGTTCTTCTCTGATTACTCTTGAGAAGGTGTAAACTGACATTTGTAAACAGGTTTCCAGAGTCTGTATTGACTATAATCTCCTCTTGGGTGGTACTCACCATTATATTCCCATTTGCTCAGCTATTTTTACTGTTGCTACCAGTATTGTGGCACTTCCACCACCCTCTTGATTGTTCTTCACCAAAGTAACCATAGTTTCCATAGAGTCCTGGGGCATGGAACCCTCCATGTGGTGTTCCATCTCAGGCAGAGCCCCAGAGATTTTTATATTTAAAGACTCTCTTCCTGATCAAATCCTCTGTAACACTGTATATGAGTTGTGGTAGAAGATATTAATTATAGCTCTCTCAACTTCATCAGTGTATTCTACATTCCCTTTCTTCTTTAGATTAATTAATCCTAAAGCATTTCTATTTGTTTCTTATGCAATATGATTATAAGTTCATTTGGAGGAGTCAATAATATTGTTTTGTTTTAATATTTTTTAAAAATTGAGATTACCACATAATCTTTTTGGGTGGTGGGGTGGGGAATGTATTGGGGATTGAGCTCAGAGGGACTTGATCACTGAATCATGTCCCTATCCCTGTTTTGTATTTTTATTTAGAGAGAGTGTTTCAGTGATTTGCTTAGCACCTTGCCCTTGTGAGGCTGGCTTTGAACTTGGGATCCTCCTGCCTCAGTCTCCTGAGCCATTGGGTTTAC